GTGTGTGTTCAATTTAAATCTATTATTTATAATGTCTTTCTTCATGATGATAGCCATAACCATCATCATCGCCACCACCACCACCACCGCCGCCTTTACCATGATGATCATCATATCCACCACCATGATAACCATGATGTTCAACATCATAATGTGCATGTGCTGCATGATGTGATTGTAATCCAGGTTCATTTGAATGTATTTTAGCACGAAAACCTTTTTTATCAGCAACATATTCTACAATACGTTTACGACCATCTTTATCATGTAATGCATATGTTCCATGCTATAATAAATTAATGAATGAAATGTAAATTGAATTAGTTTTTGTTGTTGTTGAAGAAAAAATAGAAAACATACCACATTGCCATAATCATCACCGGATTCATGGCGTGAATTTTTTCCACCATAACCATCTTCAATTTCGTAACCAAATTTATATGGATGAGGCTTTCGTGTTTATTTTTTTGTGATTTGAAAAATAAATGTTTAAACAAGAAAAAATAATAATAATCAAAATTAATTTCAAAGGGAAAAAAATGAAACTTTTTGTTTTCTCTCTCTCGCTCTCGTTAATTTGTTAAACTTTTATTAGATCCAAATATTTGCTGAAGATTTCTTAAACATTGATTATTGGATAGGAATTTTGAAATGAAATGATAGAGAAAGAAAGTCAAAGATGGATGGTGAATAACTGCAGAAACATGATTGATCATATCAACAACACAACGACCAGAGGAGATCTAATCTGATTTGTGGGAAAAAAAGTGGGCAAAAATCTTTTTGTTTTGTCGTTCATTTCAAATACACTAACACAGACACACACTAATTTCATTTTGTCTCTTATGAAATTCGCATAACAACAACAACACTTTCAATCTTTTGTTTTTAAATATTCTTATTATTCTTATTATCAGCATCATTATTATCATTATAGAAATTGTTGTCGTTGTCGTTGTCATCGATTGTTGTTGTTATAATCGATGTTTGGTTTTAGCTCATCATCATTCTTCTTTCATTCATTCATTCAGTCTTTTTTTCATTTATTATTTTCCTAATCAATGTTGTCGTCAACATTCGTTGTCATTCTCATCATTAACACAAATGATGATTATGATGATCGTAAATGAAAAGACACAGGGAATATATGATTAAATTAATTGTTGGGAGAAATTAT